TCTTGCTATGGCTCTAATAGCTCTGACCCCAGGGCAACTTTATTTATTAACATAAAATTAAAATCACATTTCAGTACAAATAAAATATCACCACAAGTATTAATGAGTTTAGTGAGAATATTGCCTTTGAATGTATGTTTGTAGGAATTATAATGGTGTATAGTAATGTTCATGTTAGAATTATTATATTAACCTATTGATATAATGCACCATGGTTTGTTGAAGTTAAGGAAGTATTTAAGTTTGATGTGAATACATCAGAAGTTTATTTTATGTTTGGTTAGCAAGAAATTCAGATGGTTCTATTAAGAGTTTGCTTTAAGATGTAAGATTGAGAGAATTGTAACTATGTTTAGCAATATTTATGTTAGAATTATGTTAACTTGTTAATGTTAATGATGACACTATGGGAGTTTTTAAGTCTGATACAGTTGCGTCAGGAGTTTTTCTTATTTAAAGGGCTTGATGCAGCGTAGACTGCTGTAGTCATCTTAGACCCATTTCAGAAAAGAAATGCCATCTTTGTCATCCTCTACTCCCATACTTGGAGGTATGACAGCTATGGAGATTCCTGTGAGCTCTTAATGGTTTTTTAGATATTAAGAAAGGGGGGACCTGTTGGAGCCCATTTTTAGGTTTCCTAGTGGCTTTACCCAGTAGGTCTGCATAGAGAGGATAATTAGACCATAGGCTTGAGTGCACGTATCTGAGATGGTGCGCACTTGACTGTACTGGTGGGAGGCCTTTTGCTCAACCCCTTGGCATTCCTTTAAATACCCTAGGGCAGAAATAATCAAGGCCCGATGGACTGGGATCCAGGCCCTATGAGGCTATCCTGCATTTCTCTCTGTTTCTCTCGCCTCTATCCTTCTAACTAATATTTCTTGCTGCTCCTACTCAAGAGTACTCTGGGGGAAATGTGGGGTGAGGGATGGCTCCCCACAGAGGGGCACTATTAGGAGGCATGGTTTTGTTGTTATGAGTGTGGCCTTATTGGAGGAAGTGTGTCACTGTGGAGGCAGGCTTTGAGTTCTCATACATGCCCACTCAGCGATTCAGACTGCTTCTTGTTGTTTCCAAGTCAAGATGTAGTGACTCTCAGCTCCTGCCGTAGCACCGTGTCTGCCTGCCTGTTGCCTTGCTTTTCACCATGATGATAAAGAAGTAAACCTCTGAACTGTAAGAGAGCCACAAAAATTAAATGTTTTCCTTCATAAGAGTAATAGAAACCCTAACCAAGACAGAGAGAATTTAATATTACAGCTATCAAGGAAAATAACACAAAAAATTCCTCTGTCAGTTAAAAATAGAGTATTCACTGTATACACTAAGTGAGTGATTCCACCATCATACATATGAAAACAACACATGACATGTGCTGGTCAAGGACACATCTCCATTCATGTTCACTGAAGCATAATTTAGAGTGCACACAATTAGAAATGACTTGATTGTCTTTCAACACATGAATGCAAGATATTGTATTATTTGATTTTTTTTATGCAGAGAAAACATTTTTCTTTGGTTTTGAGATTGTAATATAATCATGCCTGCTCTTACATCCATTTCCTCCCTCCAAATTTTCTCATACAGCCATTCATGGGCTCTTTGATTATCAGGAATTTTATCATCAGTAACTGTTGTTACATGCATCATGCATATATGTGTATGTATATACATATGTATTCCTACATATAAGTAGTATTCAACCTTTAAAGAAAGGCAATCCTATTATTTTGAACATATAGATAAATGCAGAGATTATGTTCAGTGACATGAGCTAGGCACAAAAAAAAAATCAAATGCTGTCTGATCTTATTCAAAACTGGATCCTAAAGTCAATCCCTGACATAATTTTGAATGGTGATTATGAGAGGCTGAATATCAGGGTGTTGAGGAATTATTTGTCAAAGAACACATTTCAGTGACAAAAGAGGGATAATTTAAAGAAATACTTTAAGCTGTGTGCAGAACTACTACTACTACTACTACTACTACTACTATTATACATTGTTGAATTGAAAAGTACTTTGTATATATTTTAAGGAATCCAATAATCAAAATTTTGTAAGGTTATACATAAGAGACATCCATCCATCTATTTATTTTTTGAATATAATTACTTGATTTCTCCTTCCATTTATGTACTCCAAAGTCCCCAGTGTAGTACTCATTGCTCCTTTGAAAATCCATGGCCTCTTTTTTCATAAATTGTTGCTACCTATCTAACATATATATATACATATATATACAAAATTTGATTTGTCTTATACTATATAATAATTATCCATAATATATAACAGTATATCAATGGTATTTCTAATGAATAGTATTACAGGAGAGAGGAAGAAGTGTATAAATCAAGTATGATTCTATTTCAATGTGAATTTTTACAAAATGTAGATGGGAAAGGAGGTACTAGAGTCCACTAAGAGCAGAACACAGATTACTGCTTGGGAACTGCTTAATATTTTGAATGGTTGAGGTGAGAAATTATCTGTACTTGTCTGGAATGTCCTTACTCCTTTCTCCATCTTCATAATTATTTCTACTAGGAGGAGAAAGGTGACCAGGAAGTCAAGAGAGATACAAGTTCACTGTGCTTCTGAATGGCAGACACTAGAAACTGGCATCACCACTTCACCCTCTTGTGAAATCATTGTATGGAATATTACAAGTGCGTGCTTTGTGGCAGCCACCTATGGCTTTTTCTCAGTGTTTATAATTTTTATCAGTGTCTTCCAAAACAGCAATCTAAATCAAACAATCTGGATTGATGACCCACAATTCAGTCTCTGGCTATGGTGCTCTTCAAAGCCACTGTGGACCATTATGAAATCATAGAGGTGGATAAAGAAGGAAAGAAACAAACATATTTTCCACCAGCATAGAGGATGCAGGTGCAGAGCCCCAGGACTAGGAGGTCCCCAGAGCACATGTGTGAGAGGGGAATAGAATCAAGAAAAGCCAGCCCATTCAGGGCCACTCTAGTGAGAAGGGCCTCTCTAGAGGAGAAGCTCAGCACTCTGACTTACCCTCAGTTGTCTGGACTTTGCTTCTGTCTGTGCCCTTGTCTTGCATGAGAACCATAGACTATGTGCAGCTTGAGAGCCTGATGCAACATTAGCAGCCAGCTGTAGCATACAGTCTTCTCTGATACTGTTGAGGTCTGAGCCTGTTCCATGACCTAAGCCAATCATCTCCTCCACAGCTCAGCCTAGTTGTAGGACATTGTCTCTGTGTGGTTCAGACCCTGACATGTCCCTTCCTTTGCTTTGTCTCTTCCTACTCCTGCAGTCTTTGTTTACATCAGGGGAAGTGACTCACCAGAGATGCTTTGATTACTGGAAGCCCAACACCTACATGAAGGCTGACATAATCCTAGGTGCATTTGTCCCCATTTACATCACAATAGAAGGATTCTACAAAAGCCATATATTTTTTGAGATCAAACCGGATATACTTGATAATTTTCGGTAAGTAATTGTGTGACTGTGCTAAGGGTTCTGGCTACATGACAGTGCGTGCTCCTCTGTGCACATTTAATTCCTTTGAGTATAATAAACTGTATACACAGAAATGTGAAACTCATTTGCAAACTTTCCTCCTTCCTTATGGATCTTACAGACCTTTGCTTTCCTCTTGTTTATTTTTTAGTCAGGTAGAGATCAAAGAGGGAAAACAACTTTTGTGTCTGCCCATTCTGTGAGTCCACAGACAGTCTTATATTGTTTTCACACATTGACTCCAACATGACAAGGAGAGGCTCCACCTTGTTCACATATATTTGAGAATCTAAATGACTCCTGTTGGAATGTCTCTTTCTTTCTACAGACCTGGATAGTTTCTGCTAAATCCCCATGTCCTTAGTACATGGTTTAGCATCTCCTCTCCCTCAGGTTCTTGCATTGGTCTCTTTAAAATATCTCAGAGTTTGGACACTGTGGTCATGTTTATTACTTATTAATTCCTTATTGATATTTTAATGCAGTGTTCTGAAATCACATCCTCATGCCTGATAGTCTGTCTTCTGCTTAGTCAGTTCTGGGGTCACTTTTCCCTGTGTTTTTATTAGAGGTTTTGTGTTTTTCATTTCCAACATTTCTATCTGTTCTCCCCCCTGGAAGAATCTCAGATTCCATTTAGGATTTGACTTTCTTGGTACTGAGTCTTTTATATATATATATATAATTGCTGTTGTTTTTGTCCCTCAGCCTTTGTTTTCCTGTACAGTGTTACATCTCGTCTCAATGCCCAGTTGGTTTTGCTTGCTTGTTTCTATTTTCTTTTAGGACATCATCTGTTTGCCTTTTGAACTACTCATCTGGCACTTGGTCTCTCTCAGTATCTTTGAGTTCATTTGTTGTTTTGTTATGATATTGTGGAGGATTTATTTGGCCTTGCTTTTTCATATTTCCTACTTTTTCTCTATTGTTGCTATTGTTAGTACCTTTGTTCATTTGAACATCAATTCTAGATTAAGATGGTCCTCTACTGAGAAGTATCTTCTTGAAGGTCCAATCCATGCACTGCTCTGTGAGCAGGAAACAGTCTTCCAGGCCTGTAGTCCTGGTAGTTCTGGTATTATGGAGTATGTGAAAAGAAAAATGCCAACATACATGCCTAATTTATTTAGCACTTAAAGTTCTCTTAGGAATGCTTTTACAGGATGGAAAGACTGTTTGTAGTTCAGTATCATGCTACAGCAGGAGGCAGATTGAGTCCCAAGGCCAGGAGAAGGAGAGAGTCTATCTTCAGGGATAGGCAGTAGAGAGGAAAGCTTGAACTATTAACTGACAGGGGCTTTTTTCGGGAGTCTGTTTGATCTGTCATAGGTGGATTCAAGTCACGATTCCTGAAGCTTACATTAATTTTTTTAAATTTACTTTCAGAGATAAAAGTTTTAAATATATTGTCATGAACACTGTCTGTAATCGGTGCTTAAATCCTCATTGTATAAAAGAACAAAACCAGTGTTTGTGTACATCTGGCGTAGATTTGTACTTTATAGACTTAGTTAAAACTTGGGGACCCAAAGGATGGTTCTCAGTTACAAACATGAATATTTTTTCTTCTGGCCAAGTTTTATTTTCTCTCTTTCTCTCTCTCTCTCTCTCTCTCTCTCTCTCTCTCTCTCTCTCTCTCTCTCTCTCTCTCTCTCTCTCTCTTACATCTATGTTTAGTAAATTATGAAAGAAAATTAAAAATTTTGGCCTATGACTATAATAATAGTAGCCAGTGCTTTACCAAGGCTAGATTAATAGCTTATTAGAACTCCACATACTGCTAACATAAAACTCTGAAACTTAGAAATCTTTAAGTCTTATTTTCACATACCTTAAATCACTTCCTCAGACCTTTCCAACTTGTGTGTACATAACATATCCCTTCCTAAGGCCCTCAAACTTACATAAACTTTAATCCTTTTTTTTCTATCCAATCATTTACCAGAAGACATATGGCTGATTAATAGGAAGAATGATTGAAAAGCAAGCTCTTTTAATGAATGAATAGTAAAAAGTTTTTTTTTTCTTTTTGCTGAGTAATAGCATGATAGCTTCAGTTTGGTTTTCATTTAAACCAGTTTGTGAGGATATCTTTTTCAGTATGAAGCCTGTCAGCAAGATGACCCTGTCTTGAGTCTGCCTTCTTCAGCAGATGACATACTATTTAAAAATAAACAAGACATAATTTTCACATATTATGTGGACTGATCATGCAGCTGTAGTCTTGTTGGGAGGAGCTGAGTAGGTCTGCTTGCTTCTGCTAAACTTATAAAACAACAACTTGTTAGCACCACCATCAGAAATCAGAGAGACAAATTTGAGTAGGAAGTATATCAAAACTACTCTTGTATCAGTTAAAATGACAGAGACTTACCTGATACCTAAGCATCCATCTGGAATTCTCCATGGTGGTCTCTATGACTCTGTTGGGAGCAGGGCTGTCACTTTTTGGGTGTCACACAAGACACTATTAAGACTTTGGTTGCCACACAGGGGAGCATCTACCTTCATACACCAGACTCATGAGTCTGAGAGATGTTTCTGTGAAGGAGGAACTAGGGAAAACTGTCCTACCTTGGCTGGGCAGAGTAGGGCATCTAACTCAATAGTGTCCACATTTTGGCACGGACCTGGAGGTGGGTAAATTGTGTGCCAGGTATGAGCCCAGTTGTCCACATTAGCACAACTGCGGAAAGGTCAAGGTGGAGTATGTTCTTCCACCATATTTGTGAATAGTCTTAGAAGCTGATTCTAGAAGCTGGTATTTTTGTGTATCAGGGGAAGCATTTTTGTTAAATAGTACATTCCATATTCAGCAGATCTCTCTGAGGGACAATCATGTAATTTATTAACTATACCTGATTTTAAACAAACTTTACTTATTTTCAGTTACTTGTTTCGTGCTTGTCCTTGATAGCATGTACAGAAGACTATGGCTTGTCCCTCTGTAAATGAATTGCATTTATACTCAGCATTACCAAAACCACAGTTCGGAGCACAGTAAAAAGTTTGATCATTTATACAGTAACTGACTGTTGCTTTGATTCTAATGGCTCCCTTGGGGGAGCAGGTGAGAAGGCACAGCATCATTGGCACAGAAACCAAGAGTCCATTGAAGGCAAATAACGAACTCTCTTATTCAATAAGAGGAAAGCCCTTATATACCCTCCTCCCAGTGCCTCGTCTGTGTGGTCATCTCTCATTGGCTGGGCATGATCAGAAACTTAGACAGGGACTGTTGCTAGGTCCTAGGCAGACTCTGCATGATCAGGAACTCTGACAGCAGTCAGGACCTCTGTCAGTGACCAGGAACTCTGATAGCTCCTGTTGCTAGGCCCTCAGTCATACTCCAGGTTGGCTCCAGGTTGGAAGTACATTATTTGCATGTTGTGGCTCCTGGTCTGAGCCAATTTCCTTGACCCTATGGGCCTATCTAACTACAACTGACCATTAACTTGTGTGTCTTAATGATCTTCTACAATTTATACCAAGTTCATAGTTTGTATAAGATTAGAATTTTACAGTTTTATCCCTGTCAATCTGAGCCTTAAAATTTTGAGTTGAAGATTTAATTGAAGATCCTTTAGCATCAAAGTAAAACCTTAAACCATAAATACAGTCCACATTGTACAGTTTAGCTTCTTTGTCAAAAATCAGATGTTCATAGGCATGTGGATTAATGTCAGGTCTTCAATTTGATTCTTTTGGTCCACGGATCGTTTTTTGCCAATACAAAGCTGTTTTTATGACTATAGCTGTAGTAGAGCTTGAGGTCAGGGATGGTGATGCCTCTAGAGGTTGCTTTATTGTAGAGGTTTGTTTAATCTATCTTGGGTTTTTGTTTTTCCATATGAAGTTGAGTATTGTTCTTTCCAGGTATGGGAAAAATTGTGTTGGGATTTTGATGGAGACTGCATTCAATCAGTAGATTGCTTTTGGTAAGATTGTCATTTTAACTATGTTAATCCTACTTATCAATGAGAGTGGGAGATCTTTCCATTTTCTGATATCGCCTTCAGTTTCTTTCTTCAAAGACTTGAAGTATTTGTGATACAGATCTTTCACTTGCTTAGAGTTACCCCAAGGTATTTTATATTATTTGTGGCTATGGTAGAGGGTGATGTTTCTCTGATTTCTTTTTCAGCCCATTTATCATTTGTATGCAGGAGAGCTAAATTTTTATTGAGTTAATCTTGTATCCTGCCACATTAATGAAAGTGTTTATCAGCTGCAGAAGTTCCCTGTTAGAATTTTGGGGGTCACTTATGTATACTATCATATCGTCTACAAATAGTGAAAGTTTGACTTCTTCCTTTTCAATTTGTATTCCTTTGATCTCCTTTTAGTCTTATTACTCTGGCTAGAACTTCAAGTGCTATATTGAATAGATATTGAGAGAGTAGACAGCCTTGTCTTGTTCTCATTTTAGTGAAATTGCTTTGAGTTTCTCTCCATTTAATTTGATGTTGGCTGTTGACTTACTGTAAATTGCATTTATTATGTTTATGTATGTTCCTTGTATTACTGATCTCTCCAAGACCTTTACCATGAAGGGGTGTTGGATTTTGTCAAAGGCCTTTTCAGCATCTAATGAGATGATCATGTGGGTTTTTTTTCTTTCAGGTTTTTATATGGTATATTACATTGACAGATTTTTATGTGTTGAACCATCTTTGCATCTCTGAGATAAAGCCTACTTGATCATGGTGGATAATTTTTTGATGTGTTCTTGGATTCGGTTTGCCAATATTTTATTGAGTATTTTTGCATCAATGTTCATGAGGCAATGTTCATTGATCTATAACTCTCTTTCTTTGTTGCATCTTTGTGTGGCTTGGGAATCAGAGTAACTATAGCCTCGTAAAAGGAGTTTTATAATATTCCATATGTTTCTATTGTGTGGAACAATTTGAAGAGTATTGGTATTAAATATTCCTTGAAAATCTGGTAGAATTCTGCATTGAAGCCAG